CTCTCAAATCTCTCCCTCCTTCCTTTCCTGCCTCCCTCTCTTTATCTATCTCTTTCCTCTCTCTCTCTCTCTCTTTCCTCTCTTCGCTCTCTCTCTTTCCTCTCAATCTTTCCTCCCTCCCCCCCTCACTCACGTTTTCCTCCTGGGTTCCCTGCTTTCAAGTTAGAGACACAGAATAAAGGCTTTTGCTCGCATTTGGAGAAGATCAATCAAAATAGACCTGGAAGGGACCATGGAGATCTTCTAGTCTGACCCCCTGACCCTATTACAATTTGAGACAAGTGGTTTTCCAATCTCTTCTTAAAAACCTCCAGCGATGGAGCACCCACAACCTTTGAAGGCAAGCTATTCCACGTTAATTGTTCTCACTGTTAGGAAATTTCTCCTTAATTCCAGGTTGTTTCTGTGGAATTAAGGAAAAAGAAAAAGAGCTGGAAACAAACAGGTTTCACCGGTCTTTTTTAAAATTCATATTTTTTTATAAATAAAGGTTTCCGTGTTAGTTCTGTCCAACTTTAAGGCACGGCGCTCATCTCCGTTTCTTCGCCGAGGCAACCAGCATTGTCCGAAGACAATTTCCGTTGTCACATGGCCAGTATGGATGTATGCCAAAAGCACATGGAATGCTGTAACTCTCTCCCCCCCACCTGAAAAAATGGTACCTATTAATCTACTCGCATTTGCATGCTTTGGAACTGCTAGGTGGGCAATTGATCAAACTATAAAATACAGTTTATCAAAATATAAAATACAGAAATGAAAACAATGGGAAAATTGGTTAGGAAAAGGGGAAGAGAAAAAAGTGTAGGGTAATAGGAAAGAAGAAAAAGAAAAATACTGGCTTCTGAAATCTTTTGGCACACCTCAACTTTTTGACTTTTACATAATAAGAGGTACTAGCCATTTCTGTAACCGCAAACCTATCTAATCAGCAAAACTCGAAATCAAAAGTTTCGTTTTCTTTCCCACCTCATGCACAAAGTCCAGAAATGGTTTCCAAGTTGAAACGAAATAAATTGTATGATTTTGTTTGTTTGTTAATCCAAGCAATCAGTTTAGCCATCTCCGCTAACTCCATCGACGTTTCCCAGTCTTGTCGGGTGGATAATTGCTCTGAATTTCATCAGGAGAAATTCTCCAATGATTCTCGAGAGGAAGTTTCTCCTCTTGTGTCGTTACCGAAAAGCACCCTTCGGGGAGCTGTGTCAGCCTTACCAGGTAGACCAAACGTGTCCACCAGCAGCTAATTCTACTTTATTGAAGATTGCATCGACAGAATCTTGCAAGTCTGAAAATAGACTTCTCCTCTTCTCTCCTTCCCCCCCCCCCCTCCTTTTTACGACCCTGTAATCCCTTAATCTGGGTGACAGAATGGAGCTGAGCGTTTACTGGCCAGATTCCCTACCTGATGCCTACGTGGAGCTCACAGCAGATATTTTCTCTTTGCACCCAGGAAAAAAGAACTACCATTACCTAGGATCGAACTCACAGCCTTCTGATTGTGAGTTCCACCTTTAGGCCACCATGCCGCTCTTCCACTCATCTCCTCTCCTTAGAGAAATTAGGTAAAGGTAAAGGTTCCCCTCGTACATACGTACTAGTTGTTTCTGGCTCTAGGGAGCGGTGCTCATCTCCGTTACAAAGCCAAAAAGCCAGTGCTGTCTGAAGATGTCTCTGTGGTCATGTGGCCGGCCTGGCTAAACGCCGGAACGCTCTTCCCTTCCCACCAAAGGGGTCCCTGTTTTTCTACTTGCATTTTAACGTGCTTTCGAACTGCTAGGTTGGCAGAAGCTGGGACAAGGAATGGGAGCTCACTCCGTGACACGGCGATAGGGATTCGAACCGCCGAACTGCCAACCTTTCTGATCAACAAGCTCAGCATCCTAGCCACTGAGCCACCACGTCGAACAATTAGGGAAGGTCTTTTCTGGGCCTCTCGCTCCATCCATTATCCAGCTGTGGACTCTCTCTTATCCATCCTTCCCCTCTCTGGGCCCAGTCACCCAAGGTCATTCCTGCATGCCATTATATGCTCT